CTATTGTGAATAGAACTTGTTGTTGAACCTTATGTCTCGCCAGCTAATAATCTTCAATCCAAATGTCTTTATGTTTGAAAGACATTGTAACTTAAATATTTTTGCAAACAGAAGATGAATCAGGACTTCTCACAGTTCCCGATGGATGGAAAGAACCACCTTTTACCAGAGAAGATAACCCTAAAGGGCTTCTGGAAGAAAGCAGCTTTGCTACTCTTTTCCCTAAATACAGAGAAGCTTACTTGAAGGAATGCTGGCCATTAGTGCAGAAAGCTTTGAATGAACATGTAAGAATCTTTACTTACACTTTTATAGAGATAATGTTTTCAATCTACTTAAACAGCATGGATTTTGAGGAAAGTCATGACTTAGCTATATTGATGGATAACAAGTATTTACTATAGATGACTCTCTTTTTCACTGTCTACTTTGTGAATTCCCAAATATGCAGATAAAGAGGCCTGTAGTAATATGTTCCATAAGCATCCTATTTCTATATTCACTGCACAAGAGTTCCTATAATACTTAAATACAATGTGTATTATATCAGTTATTTAGAAATAACATTATTTCAGATGATTTATTAATAAGCTTATGTTACAAACATGTTTGAAAGTAAAAGGGGTAATACTGATTCCAAGATTTTGGTATCCCCAGAGCAGGCTCTAATTAATGAGTTACATGCCTTAAAATGTGCCCATCTGATCATCCCCTCTGTTCTACCATTTGCTTGATTCTTCTGGCTCCAGATTGACTTTCCAAGTAAAAAGTGCAGGCTATTTGGAGATGGCAGAGAATAGATGAAAAAAGTAGGAAATAGGACCTGGAGATTTCAAAGGCTGCAGCGGAAGCATCATTGGGGCATGGGCCACGATCCCTAATTGACAACACAAATCCAAAGATGCTTCATATAACAACTTTTAATTTAAAAGGGCATCAGCTTGAGGTTTTTAAGTGAAACCCTTACCATTATGAAAATGTTTAGTTCTTTGTTCCTAGATACCAATACTTTTTTTTTGTAAATTTTATTGATCATACATTTCTGAGATCATTAAGAATTTGTTCTGTTCTTCTGAGAATAGTTTGTTGTCCTTTGCTACAGCATATAAATGCAGTTTTAGACCTAATTGAAGGAAGCATGACTGTCAGCACAACAAAGAAGACCTTTGATCCATATATCATCATCAGAGCCCGAGATTTAATAAAACTTATAGCCAGAAGTGTTCCATTTGAACAGGTTTGTTTTTCAATCTTTTTATATTTAATTCTTTAATTTCAATAGCTCTGATAACAAACTCAATCTGATTAAGAATCCTGATTCAGAAGTTTTCTAAAAGAAAATGAATATGTTATAATAAGATACTTGATTATATATCTCTGATTTCCATTCAGTCTGTACGTGTCCTTGAAGATGATATTGCATGTGACATCATTAAAATAGGGTCCTTGGTCAGAAATAGAGAAAGATTTATAAAAAGAAGGCAAAGGCTTATTGGTCCAAATGGATCTACTCTAAAGGTATGTCTTGTTCTTTTAACTCCTATGCATGCTTAATCAAAAATAGGTCCTCTGTAAATGTGACCTAAATGCTTGCTTTCATATTCAGTAAAATATATGCCTATGAGAATTGCATCCTGAAATGTATATTATTCTCTTATTTTGATGTAGGCGCTAGAAATATTAACCAGCTGCTATATCATGGTTCAGGGGAACACTGTTTCAGCTCTTGGACCTTTTAATGGTTTAAAAGAGGTAAGATCACCTTGGGATAGAACATTTTGCACATTCAATCCAAGTATTTCATTTAAATTTGTTAATGCTATATATTAGTATAAAATGAATATGCAATCAAAATAAATAACCTATATACTAGTCCATAATTGTAATAAAGATTTGATGTTGGGAAATTACCTAGGAAATCAGTAGTTGTATTGAAGTTTTATATATTGTATTAACAGAATTTTATCTAACAAGCTAAACTCTTTGATTATACTGTGCAAGACAAAACATGATATAGATGGAGCATTGTATCAAAATGTCTTGCTGTCAGAAATCTGATCGTTGCCAAACAAATCACAGTGGGCAGCTTAAGAATAGAATACAAATTTGACCTGATACAAATTCTTGCACACTAGTAGCCCTTTGTGCAATATATATAATTTAACTGCCAATCTCCTGCTCCAGTTTATATCTTCATTAGTTTTCTTACATGGCTAAAGGATACATAATCATACTTACAGAAAATAACATTGTTTTAAAAATAATCTTCCAGTGTTAGAAAAGTAATCATCTAGGAATTAGATATTTTAACTCAGGGTAACTAACTACAGGTTACATGCAGCCTTTACCATTCATTAGCAGTTCCAGAGTTTTCGCCCCCTTCAGAGTATAAGATACCAGTTTTGCCTCTTAACATCCCCCACTCTCTTACTGTCCAACAAAAAATATCCAAAAGGAGAAATGGAACCTAAATTTCAGTCCTACACCTGCAGGACTCGGACAGGGCAGAAACAGTGTTCAGTATGTGACCACATGGCTGAAAAAGTTTGCTCACCTTTGGTTTAAATCATTAAAATTAATCAGTTTGCAATCTTGTCTTTTAAAAAAAAATAGGTTAGGAAAGTTGTTTTGGATACCATGAAGAATATTCATCCCATATATAATATCAAGGTAAAATAAAAACATTTGATCTAAAATCATTTTGGATGACTTGTTGATATGTTATCTATTTAGCATCCCTTTGACATGCTGTGTTTTGGGCAGAGGGGTTGTATGTTTTCCCAGAATTCTGCAGTGAAATTGATTGAATTGAATCCCAAACCCAATATTCAATAGACATCAGGGAATAAAAATAAACCCATCAAATAAAAATAAATTAATGATATCAGTTCTACA